ATGGCTTTGTCGAAATCTTCTTAGTTTTACGAATCGATAAAAATTTAATTCTTAAATCGAAATTTTAGTTTATCGGCGCACCAAAGAAGATAATCTTTATTTCCAAACTAATGCAGACTCTTTACTTGCATTATCGAATTTGTCGTTCTTTCTCTTGCGTTAAAATTTTAATAAAATTTCTACAACTGTAACTTTTATTCTCAACATTTGAGCAGGGATATCGCAATGTGTCCTCTTATTACTTCTATATCAATTGACAGCGCTATTTTCCTTATATTGTGTCCAAATCAACGAACCACAAAAGCGAATTACCTACAATGAAATACGTTTGTCTTATTTTCTGATAAACTAAATCTCAACTAATGTGAATATGTATATGTTATTATTACATATATACAACATAATCTAGAAGTTCTTCTTTATAATATCTTCTTTTTATTTTATATAATTTTTAAAATCACATTTTTTGTTATCTTCTATATTGTATATCTTTACTGTTGATGATAATGTATTAATATTTTAAATTTTTGAATTATTTTTTTATCCATAAAATATTTTTCCAATTGCAAGAATATCGGTAATATTCATTACACACAACATAAAATTGGTATGCGTATTTGAGAAGTAAAAAGATTATGTTAAATTGCGGCTTCTTGTTTTTGTCGTCAAAGGAAGAGAACTTTTATCACAAGAGGAATTGACATTTTCACACAAATTAAATGAAGTACAGAGCGGTGAAATATTAGGTATTTAGTTTGAAAAAGAACACAAAGATACGAGATACAATTGAGATGAGCTGAAAATATCTTTAACCTATTATCTAACCTGTTATCTAACCTTTAAATTAAAGTTTCTACTGAGGGACTTTCAATCCAGAGTGACGCGAAAAATATCGTAATACTGTAAAGTTAATACTTTCTTTACATTTATTTAAATGTGTAAATATCTTTAGTGCACCGAAAGTATATAAGATGTAGTATATACATTCTAATATGTCTCTCTCAAACTGCAATATTTAATTATTCAAATGCTATTTCGTTTATATCATTTCTTCCACTCCTTTTTATTTACTTCGCGAAATTACTTAATAATAAATTTATAATTATAATATATATTCATAGAAAGCGACATTCCCCAGAACTCAGTACACTTGTAAAGTTTCTCGTAAAAAAATTAACATTTTTTATTAAAAACTTGGTGTTATAAATTAAGAAAATGTACTTGGATACTCATAATTAAAAAATATAATTATTTCTTACATTTTTGTTCTAAATAATATAAGCATCTTGTATGTTATAAAAATCACTCATATTACGCAAAAAATATATACAAAATAAAAAAAGTAAACGTAATTTTACTTAGCTTTAATTGAATTTTTGCTTGAGATACGTTTGTAGAAAACGCGAGATCTCAATTTAAGCTCATTAGGAGACTATGAATAATTCCCGTGATGGTATAATTGACTTTCTAAGCGTCGTCTCAGCGGAAGGGCTTTTTTCATAATTGTTTGATCATCCACGCTGTTGGCTTTATCATTATTTTATGTCCGCAAATTATGTTTATTTTAATTTAATCGAATACATGCGCTATTGTTCAATATTGCGGGATATTTTTGTTGCCGGTAACTAGGAATTCTCGCAGAATGCCACTTGAATGCTTCTGACACTCGAATACCTCTCGAGACTCTCGAAATCGCAATGCTAATCTATTTCAATAGTATTTGTGCATTATGTCGCATGTTGAATGCGTATCGATCGATTAAACGTGAAAAACATACCGTATATCTATCTGAATTTTTAACAGACAATGCAACTTTTAATTCAGTTATATTTACATATATTGTTTATATGTACAACAAAATTTTAATAGTTTTTAAAAATTCATGAAAAATACATTAATATACTGTAAACATTAATATACTTTTACAGACTTCATATATGGTCTTCATAAAAATTTATATTTTGCATAATTTGAATAGTATACAGTACGCATAATACATATTTTTATAAAGTTAACTTGTGTGATTTAACATACGTCACAATTTCAAAAAGAAAGAAAAAATACAAATTAAGAACATTAAATAATTTTTTATGTTTTATATATAGCGGCCGCAATAAAAAAATGTAAATTAGTTCTAATGCGACTTGAGTATACTTTATGTATGAGCTCCGTGATTTATTGCCCGAGTTACATTCTCGGCCGATAAATTTGATCCTCTCAAGCTTGACAAATTTGACATAACGGTTAACAATGTATCGCGGAGATAACCATTTGGAGGGCATACGTAATCGATAATGCAACGTATAGCCGACGCCGCATGACATATCCTTGATATTTAAATTTATCAACCCGTTTGTGACATGAAATGAGTTCACAATCCGTTGCTCGCGAATAGATTATTATAGTCTGCTTGTAATCAACTATTGATGACTCTTTCGATAACCTTGTGTTAATGCATGTAAAGTTAGTATGCATTTATGCATACAAATAGCCTGGGTTGGTAACGTTACCTCATAAAAAGAACTCGTTACCGTAACCGTTTTTTTTTTCTAAAAAATAACTCGTTCCCATTACTCGTTATTGATTTGCAAAAGTAACTCGTTACCATTATCGTTCAACTCAAAATATAATGAATCGTTACTTTTTTGTTACTTTCTTTTCTTGACACTAATAGAATATTATATGCATATTATATACAGATTTTTGCGATAAATGTAAAAAAGATGATTCAAAATCAAAATTCTATTTTTTAGTAGAGGAATAGAGCTCAAAAAATATATACCTATAGTAAACATTGTGCGTTATTTTCTTGAATAAAATAGATGCTGTTATATTACATAATATATACTGCAATTTTTGTAATTTTTATACTTAAATAAATTTATTTTTTGTATTACTTTTAATAAGATATCTTTAAATTTTAAATTATATCTTTAACTCTTAATACATACGAGTATAGGTACAATTTTTTTTACTCTGCACGATGGGTCGTTTGTGTGTGGGTTAATTTCCATAATTTTTACAAATATACAAAAATTATGAATAGATTTTTATATATATTTTAACATCTTTAAAAAGCAATTATAAAGTTGTATATTTAAAAAGAAGGAAAGGATAAAAAGAATTATTTAGCCAGGTGCAGTATTTCGAAGAAAAGAAACAAGATATAAATGACTCATCGTGAATACTCTAAGGTAAAATTATATTATAATAAAAAAATAGTATTGTTTGTAATTTGCATTAACATATATGCATATATTTAATTTGTGAGATGTAATACAAAAAAAATTTCATTTAAAAAAATTAAATATACTGTAAAGATTATGTTTGAGTTAATCTATACGTGTGAATACAATGAAAAAAAGGCATCGCGTAATTTAAACAGCTAATCAGACCGTTAATGTTTCATTTCTGTTTTCTAGAGCTATAGTTACAACTAAACTTTTACATAGTTCGAAATAAAGTTATGATAAAAGTAACTAGTAAAATCGTTACCGTTGCCCTAAAAATGTAATTGCATTACCGTGAATGTTACTCAGAAGAAAATGTAACGTCGTTACCCATTCGTTACCGAAAAAAGTAACTTGTAACGATAACGACGTTACAAATAACGCGTTACTAGTCAACCCTGCGAAATAGCTGAAGACGCAACATGCGAACAATGTCAAATAATCCGTATTGCCAATAGATTCGCGGTCTGGATATGATCGCGGATATTAGTTGGCAAACTATTTACATTTAATTTAGTTATTCTAAAGTTTGTATTATGTTGCTTTCTAGCTTCATTCCCTCAAGTACTGTTAATACAAATTTGATAATTGAATTTAACAGTAAATTAATACACAGAAATTATCTCCTAATGAACGTTTATCTAACGTGTAATTTATTTTATTTTTTAACTTTTTATTAACTTGCAGGAACGATATCTTGTGTCTATTATCTACAAAGGCTGAACTGATACGTCAATAGGTACTACTATCCTGTAATAGCGTAATGGATACCTCGATATCCTTGATGAGTCGAACAAGTTGCGAAATTCCATGGTTGTTGTCAGCTTCGGTTTCCCGATCAATCGACTAATGATTATGGTATCTGGATAATAGACTGGAAAGACGTAGTATTATAAAAGAAAAAGAGGTGTTGTTTGTCTGACCTACTAATACACAATTAATTAGAAAACAAACAAGGGTGTGTTAGGCCATTTCAGATATCGTCGATACGAGATTTCGTTGATTAGTTCTCATTTGATTGTTCATCAACCTAAACGGCCGTTACTTTCGTAATGAACTTTCGTACGTTAAACATACGTTCTATTAATAGAATAACAAAAGATATAATAATCAGCCTTATACACTTTGCTTTGATTGCTTCTATTTTTATAATAAATTTCTACTTTAAATCTGTTTTAATAGCATAAAGATCAAATATCGATGATACTTTTTATTGATACTTTTGCTGTATTAGTTTATAAGAAATATTATTGTTGTTGTGCAACTACACTTATATTAATTTTTATTAATAAGAATATCGACATAAAAAATTCCCTTTTTATAATGTATAATATAAATATTTATCAGTTAAATCGGTCGAGTATCATCGATTTCGTGTGAAATACTTTTATCAAAATATTGTCAAAGCCTGCTGTTGCAGATATCAAGTTTGATAGTAAGTGCCGATCCCTGTTTTTGTGTAGAAGATTGAAGTTCCGTCAAAGCATTCCTTTATAGGTACATGACAGAAACATGATCTATCACATGTGCTTTCCTTCGTATAAGCTTATTAACCACATAATGTAATGATTAACATTCTATTCTAACATGATTAATAGTCCAAAAATTATCGTCTCGAAATAATTAAAAATATCGATACAATGTTACGAATTAACAACAATGTGCAACAATGATAACCAACTGTACTAAAAGGAAAACAGCGTCTTTCTTTCCCTTTTTTTTATGATACTGAATAATATCAGTGATTAATTAATGCGTAATATATTTTCAGAACAAACTATTCTGAGGATCAAAAAAATCATAGCTGCAAGAAGAAAACTCATTTGACGGACAATAATCCGAGAAACCGCCATGGAAACACACGTGAGTAATGATAAGTTATGCTGTAATGGCATATGCCAATTATAATATTCATACTTTGTAGAATAATTGTAGCTTTATTAATTTTTTCATCACCTACAGTGACGTTCGTCTTTTCTAATTAGAAACAGAAAACGTATTATATATAATATATAAAAGTATAGTGTTATTATATTGTCGCTTTATTAAATTATGTGATTTAACGTGCATTATAGTTTTACAGGATTGATTTACAATTGCGAGAATTTATTTAAAAATGCACAAAAAATACAAAAGAAGAAAATTAAAGATATTTTTTTATTTTTTATACATACTTTCTGTACATATATTTAATCTTATTTTTAAACTTTTTTTGCACATTATTCTTTAAATATATTCTTTAAATATTTCACTAAATTGTAAAGCAATGAAATCGTAAATCGTCCTATTTATTATTAATATTAATTAAATGATAATAATCAAATTCCAAAGATACATTTTTTTTATTGTTAAAAAAAGAAACAATTGCAAATTTCACACACATAATCTAAGAAATAAACAACAGAAAGTTGATTTCGTCATTATTTTATACTCAGAACGAATCCTCTTAGCTACGTTTTTCCATGACAAGAGAATTATGTATAATTCTCCGTAATTCTTCTGATAAGAAACATTTCAGAGATTCTGACAAAAGAATTAAAGAAAAACAAATCAGAACTGAAAAGTTTAACAGAGATAGTTCTTAATATCTTATTTAGTAACAGTCTTTTTGTTTGATAGTATCAATCTTAACTTATGTATAAAGTATATTTACTTGATGCGATCTTTTCATTTGTTGATACAAAATTTTATGGGATACATGAAATCCGGAACACACAGAAATATTCACTAAATATTTCTGCTGGTATCTTTAAATTTTCGCAGAGAGATAATCCGCTAAATATACATACAGTTGGAAGCTTTATCACAAGCTAAATGGACGTTTTCCTTGAAGTGTGCAGAAAATGCCAGAAGGGCCAGACAGATCGTTTTATTTGTAGACAAGCTGTCGGACGGCCTTTCGCGTGGCGAAACTATAAATTAAGTTTTCTGAACTATTCTTTGCCGCAGGAATTCTAAGAACTTTCAGCTTGGTAGAACTTTGATTATCGAGACATAAAAACTTAAACGAAATACAGTTCAAAAATTTCTGTTCTCCGTTTCGTCTTTTTTTTAATTTGACTCTTTTAAAATAATGTATATAATTTTCTATTGAATAATGTTTTGTATTACAGTCTCATCTGATTTAATTAATTTCCGATACCACAATTTATATTTGGTTTCTGTAAATTTTGCGTTTTTCAGCATACATTACATTTCGAATTTCGAATGGAAAATTTACTTAATAGATTTGTTATTTAATAAATTTTCCAACTAAATTTAGAAGTTTTTGTGAAACTTAACAATAAGAGCATGATAAGAGATTTAACTTTTTTATCTGTTATTTTAATTATTATTCAAAAGCAAGCCTACTTAAAACAGAAACGTTATGTAAAAAGTATACATATATTTAGCATCTAAAAAATAATATAAAATATCTTGTTGAACATCTTATATATCTTTTTACTAAAAAATCTTAAGACTGGAATTTTTTAAAAATTTTTCTTTCTTGGAAATAAATTGCATTGCCTAAAACGATTCGCAGTATTTTTAATAAATTTCTGTAAATGCTACATTGTTTGCTAGAGTCCAACGAGATCGTTTAAATACTAAGATTATAGTCACAGTTATTTATTCCACAAATAAAACGGATTTTAAACGATATTATGATAAAAATTATATACAAAACAAATTATATACAAAAAATTTTTGTTGGCCATAATAAGCATTATTTTCAATCTCATTGCACGCATATATTCTTACTGCAACTCACTCTTCCATTTAATTGAAAGTGCATTAACGCAATGTATCCTCTCGTTTGCAATGTAAATATTGTTAATATCAGATTCAGCATATCGATCCAGCAATACCACATTATTATATAATATACATGACTGATCAAAATAGTCCCAGATTTAATATCTATATATAGATTTATTTTATCATAACTTATACACATTTGAAAGTTGAGAAAAATCTGTATTTTTATAACGCAAATAATATATTAATACATAATATTTGTTTTTTTAGCTTGTTGAAATATTTGAATCTCGCGGTTTTTAAATTCTCATTTCATACAAAGGAGGAGAAAAAATTGAAGAGTTGTTCAGAAATTCCTTTCAAGATAAACATCTTCAATAAAGTTCACTAAGTATAGTAATAAGTTTGCTAAGTAAATTTTCTGAACAAATTAAAAACTTATATGAAAATCTTATATAAATAAATAGAAACAATACTTTTGATTGTATTAATATCGTTGATATCATTGGAATGTTTGCATGTTTTCGAACATGAATGTGACTCCAGCAAATTACTTTCGAGCTCGTTCAATGTCTCGCATACGTAATGAATGTAACTTCTACTTCGTAAATTCTTATAGGTGCTTATGCAAAAGCTCTGGGCGTATCATAAAATCCTATCATTTAGATAACGATTACGATGGAACGCAAATCTTATATTTTCTCACATGCGGTTTCCTGTGTAGAAACTCGTCTGCTCCAAGCGCGCTTTTAAATATTCTTTACTGTTCCGTAAAGCTCAACGATTTTCAACGAGGTCAAAGTGTAACTTTGTAGTAAAGATTCGTCGATTTCGTAACAACAAAATTTGCTCTGACACTTTGCGACGGCGAAACTTCTCTCTAGGAGACCCGTGCACTGATTTCGTTTCGGACTGCAGCTATCGGCACACATTCCAAGTATTCCAACGTGGAAAATGCAATGATGCGGGGATTTGAAGTTACCGAGCGATCCACCATCTCTAACTTTATAGGATTGTCGCAAAACTAGAAATCTGTGAAATCATGAAAATTGAGAACAGTCAGGGAAAAGTCCAGGAATTTTGCTAAATTTTCTGAAAAATAAAAATTTTTGGCTTTAAAGAAGTTTAATATGCGTACAAATATGCTACGCAACTTTGAAGTACTGCCAACTCAACAATTAAATGCAAGCAGTGTCAGCAATATAAATAGTAATTTACCTTCTCGTGTTAAAAATTATTCTTTCAACAAAGTATATTTAATGGTTTTCACATCAGGATTAAAATACAAAAATTTTTAAATATTATTGAAAACATCAAGGAAAATTATGAAATTTTGCTTGGAAATCAAGGAAAAATTATAGAATTTTAGAATGAGAAATTTGTGACAAGCCTATTTTAATATACAGATACAACTAATCAATATCTTCCTCTCTTCTTCTCTCTTACTCTCTCACTCTCTCACACACAATACACGCTCTCCCCCCCCCTCTCTCTCTCTCTCTCTCTCTCTTCTTTCCTTTTCTCTCTTTTCTTTTGTTTAAAAAAGCTTTTGTTTAGAGAAAGATGTCACTAACATTTCTCATTTTGTCTTTATTCTTTTAATAATTTAATCTCATAAAACGCAACGTTATGTATGCGATATGCAGCGCGATATATATGTGTTGTGCTTCATACAAGATATTGCTTTATGCTACACTGAGAAAATTGCTATGACACGATATAAAAATTTTTGTGCAGTATATGGCGAAAATATTTTGTACCGCAAGTTTGTTAAAACAAAACAAGCCCTCGAA